CAAAAGTATTGAATAGCTTCACAAAAAAACTTCCACTCCCAATCCTAAACAGACCCTAACCCCAAATTATCGCGATAAATTAGATACCGGGAAAATGGACTTTCGTTTTTCTCATCTTTCGCTTTTGTTCTCATCGTGACTTCCATTTACGGGTGCACCATTTACCACACAACTCGCCCACTTCGGGTCTGCCTGCTAGATTTGGTAAAATGTTAGCCCAATTTGCTAACTTCATTTAAAACATCCACTTAAAATGCAGTGATAACAATTTAGAATGAATTAGACATTTTATAATTATAGATAAATAATAAAGGTTAAATATTAATTTTGGTCTCTTAATTTTAAAATTTTGTATAATTTTCATCTCTTAATTTTTTTTTTGTACTTTTTTTATCTCTTAATTATGAAAAATATTTTTTTTAGTCATTCCATCAATTAATCCATTAAATCTATTTGAATCTATGCATTTTTAATCGCTTAACCGCACATTTTTAATCTCTTAATTTAATTAAAAATATGTATATATTAGAAGTTGAGAGACTAAAAATATGTAGATTTATGTAGATTTAACAGATTAATTAACAAAAGACAAAAAAAAGTACATTTTGCATAGTTAAAGAGTTCAAAAAGTGCAAAAAAAAAAGTTGAGGGATGAAAATTGTGCAAAACTTTAAGTTGAGAGACCAAAATTGACATTTAACCTAATTTTAATCTTTAATTTTAAGTATTTGTATGGTTTTAGTATCTCAATTTTTTATGCACTTTTTTAGTACCCTAATTATAAAAATATATGTAATCTTTCCATTGAGTATGTTAATATATATATATATATTTTTAGTTTTTAAACTTTTAAATTGAAAAATGAAAATTATATAAAATTTTAAAATTGAGAGAATAAAAATATACATACATAAACAAACTTAACAAATTAAGTGACAAAAACTAAAAAATATATATTTTTCATAATTGTAGGACAAAAAAAGTGTATAAAAAATTAAGGAACCACAACTGTATAAAATCCTAAAATTAAAATATCAAAAATGATATTTAGTCAAAAACAAATTACTCTATTATTAAAAAATATGTCTTTTATTAATAATTATAAAAGTACCATTTATGAAAGGTGAGTTACAAATTTTTTTTTTTTTGTAAAATGTACATACAGGGAAGGATTTTTTACTTGTAAATTCTAGTCTACTTATTTGACTTACAATTTATTTAAATTTAGATAAAATTACAACAGATAAAAATATGGAATAAGTTAGTCATAATTTATCTTTTCTAATTAAAATAAGACCCATCTGACTTATGGCTTCAATATGTGAGTTATGATACCCATTTGCCATGTCTAATACTTGTGTGAGAATCAACCATTTGGGGTGGACGAGTAAGAATTTGTTAATGCCACACATATTATAGTGATCATGTTTAATACACATTAAAGCTTGATAAAACAATTATTTGAGTACGGAACGCCCTCTGGCTATAAATAATTTTTAATGTCCACACCCATAAGTGTGGCATTGGTTGAGTCAATACTTAGGTGCCTTACCACTATGATTCAAACAAAGTAATTTTAAATGCTAAAATTACATAAATATAGGTGTTTCTATCATTTTAGGACTTTTGTGTTTTCTCTTGTCGCCTAAGCGTCCACACCTAAGCACCCAAATCGACGTGATAAAACCCCATCACCATAAAATTTATAAATTCACAACAGGCCCGTAGGACCCTGAATCATGTATGAGTTTTATACTGGAACCGAAATTGGCAGAGTAGTTTTTGTACAGCTTTGCTCACTAGTTGAGATTTGAGAACAAGACAGGGCCACCGGTGGAAATTAGACATTAGCAACGAAAAATGAGAAGAGGAAGAAATAAAAAGTAATCTAGTATCATCCAACCCACGAGTTGTATGCCAAAAAAACTCCCAGATACACAATGAGAGTTTCAACAAGTCAATCCAATTTTCATCCAATTCAAGAAGCTTTGGCCGCAAGATGAATTAGTGCTCGCCGGTGGTAAGTATTGCGGAGTTTCTTGTACTTGTGCACAAATGTTCCAAGATCTATCTCCCTATCAAGCAGCTGTCTATGCAATGCTTCTGATTCTTCCTCCGTCTTGTTCGTTGCCTCTGAGAACAACAAAATGCATCATAAAATGATCTAGACATTTGATTGATCGAAAGTCCGAGGTTTAAAGAAGGATTATTAGAATTGTATACCATGAAGCCTATAAAGAATTGATGCAGGGGAGTGGAACTTCATTATGTCTTCTTTCTGCTTTTCTAGCTCACTTAATTTTTCTTGAGCAGCAGCCAACTCTGTTGTTCGGAGGATCATGCACTGTAGTCATGCAACCAGAAAGAAGTTTCAACCAGAACACCAATATCAATCAATGAAGAAAGAGAATTATGAGGCACCTGGGAAACTCACCTGGTTTCTAAGTTCCATTATTTGTGGTTCCTTTTCCAAATTTGATCCTGTTAATTGAAATTGAGAGGAATGTATTAGCGATGGTCTTTCCGAGTATTCTTCACATTAATAATTTAATATCATTATAATAAACAGGAAAACCACTCACTAGCAAGCTGCAAAATCTCTTTGCGAAGTGCATCTCGTATCTGAAGAAGTAACCATCAAAGAGAGATATTATAAGAAAAGATCAGAATAAAAACGGATATAGAAACTTTTCTTGTTAATGCAATTATTGATGTTGGTCACTTAGAAATCCAGAATAACCACAAACGCAATCATGTCACTGCAGGAAATAAAAGAAAAAAAGTGGCATGATCTCTGTCTCTCTTTCCTGATGCATTATACAAGCAGGATAACAGTATAATCGAGTGTCTTAATATTCACATAAACCTATTGTGAGAATCATTACTTCTTATTTTAATTAGACAGTACATTAATCCCATCAAAGAAATTGGATGGTTTTCCTTAACTAAAGCTGGGCTTTCTTTATATTCTCAAGCGATTAGAGTAAGAAAAATGATATGTAGGCACTCACAAGGTGATCAATCATCAATAGACCACTTAATCTTACCAATCATACTAGAGAATCAAATGCCTTTCTACTACCAATGTCAGAGAAAAAAGAATCACAAACCAAGAACATTCTAAACAATTTGATCCACATAGCACCATATAGCAAGTTGAATGACACAAATTCAGAGTGACAAAATGCATCAACGAAGCAGTTTAGAATTTGCTACTTACACTGTTTTCAGTTTTAACCAGGGGAACTGAGAGGAAAAATTGATTATATGCATCCTCGTCAGACAGAAGCCTCTGTAACTCATCAACACTGAAGAAACAAGAAAAGAATTACAAAATGGAGACACTATTAAGTATTAACATAAAAAAGGGGACTATATTACCATATTAGCAACAAAACTACAGTTTACATAAATGATCCTCCCCTATGTTTCTAGAGGCATTAAAACAAATAACTGCCAAAACACATATTCCCAAAGAGAATTAAGCAGCAAACTAACCAGTTGTGAAATATAACAGAAAAATAAGCTGGAATCAAAATCATAAATTTGAAATTCATTTAACATGTATAAAAACGTTGGCAAAAACTTGTACAAATAATATATAAGCAATAAAGACTACTCAAATTTAAAACATATACTAATGCCATATGCAATGTGCAGACAAATTTAGAAGCGAATATGATTATTGGAAAATCAGACATAAAATACCTGACACACATTCATGGAATCATGTCCACCAGCTCATTAGGAATTCTTAGATTATGTATATCCAATGTAGTTGAATGTATTGAATAAATAAAAACAATAATTTTCTTAGCTATCTTAGATTCCAGCATTCCACTTTATATATTCTCTAGAATCCAACGCATTCACAAACAAGATTTATTGAGGCACATACCAGCTCAGTACTGTAAATTCTAAGATGATTATAAACGTGTAGCAATCTGGATAACTGAATCAATAAGGGGACAATGTATCATATTCATTACCTTTTGTCCTTCAAGAGAGCAATAAGGCCAGCCTCTTCAGCAGGTGAAACATGAGATGGAGACTCTGGCTGATCTGTAGGCTTCGGATAATTGATACTGTTAAAACCACTGTTACTTGGAGATGGGGGCCGAATAGAATTTGGGGAGCTAACAACAGGAGGGTACCAAGAATGTGATGAACCCTCTCGTGGACATGGCTGAGCTTGTTGCTCCCGTGAACCCCTGGTCGTAGACATGATCAAAACCTTAGCAGAGAGTAACATGAAATGACAGAAAAAGATATGAGCAGAATGGAAGATACATCTCATGGTCAGTTAGCCCCAAGAAGATTAAAGCTAGTTAAGAACTAAAAAGAGTACAAACAATTTTTAGGGCCAACGCACAGAATCCAGTCTGTAGACAAACACACGCTAGGTTTAACTTTTAATTGTCATCCTATTTGCGCAATTAGACATTAAGAGAAAATGAACAACCACATCAAGTCTTCAAGGTAGCAAGTAATCAGGTAAATGCTTTCTTAAGCAACAAAAAAAACTAAACATACTTAAAAGTAATGCCCCAGCATATTAGCTATACAACAGTTCTCATTCTCAAGGTTACGACGAGTCAGCATTGAGCACATCAGATACCATAACATTAAAAATTCAATTTACCACTTGCCATGAACTTGAAACCCCAACTGAAGCTTAAAAACCAGGATACACTATACAATTCTTGTACCCGAAGGGAAAAAAAAATACATAGCCTCAAGCAGATAATTGGAAAAAAAAAATTTCATGTATGTGTTTCTTTCTTTTCTTTTCTTTTCTTTTCTTTTTTTTAATCTCAATTTATTGTGGATACTGGTTTTGGGTTATCAAAGTTCATTTAGTATGCATCGTATCTCGGATGATGTTTATTGCAGAGAGGTGGAAGCTATTATTAGTGTAATTACCTTACTCGCACCTGCACCTCATTTTTTGTGGAATTCCCTTTAAGCCCCTTATCTTTCTTCTTTTTACCTCCACCGCCACCGCCACTTTTCTTCCCACCACTTTCACTCTCCGACACCGGTGACTGGCTACCGGCCGGCGATGTCACACCCTGGTTGAGCTCGGCCTTCACTTTCTCGCTCTTCCCTTTTCCTTGTTCTTTCTGTTCTTGATCGCCTTGAGGCCACAACTCTACATGTTTCGATGTCTTCTTTATCAATTCCTTGATCAAAGTCTCTGAATCAACGTTACCTACTACCGTCGCTTTTTGCCCCTTAAAATCAATATTCACAGTATGAACGCCTAAAAATAACAAAGAAAATTAATCAAAATTATTAAATGAAAGAAAACCCAGATCAGAGATTTTGAAACTGGTGGAAAATGAAACTTACGAAAGATACCCAGGTGAGAAATTTTAAAAAGACGGAAACTTTGAAATAGAAAAGAAATTTTCCAAGGAAAAAAAGGGAAAAAAATGAAGGGATTTAGTGGGTAACCTTCTATTTTTGTTAAGATCTCTTTGACTTTCTTCTCGCAGCGTCCACAGTAAAGGGGGACTTTCAATTCCCATGTCTATAGAAAACAGAGTTCCAGAGACATGTGAGATATGAGATAAGATTTTAGTCCCAACTAAAACAAGAAGTAGAAGAGAAGATTTACCTTGTACTTGAGAGGCTCTGGTTTGGATTCTGCAGGTTTAGGTTCTGGTTTTCCCTTTGGTGATGGTACTGTTGCCATTTAGACGAAGAATAAGGTAAAGTTGAGACTTGTGAGGAAAGGATCAGAGGAAGGAAAAAGAAAGAAGGAATGGGAGCGAGAAATAGTGTCTGGTAATGGTATGGAGGTGCTTAAGAAGAAGATTACCGCCGGTGGTACTGTTACCCTTTTCGCCGCTGCTTTTCTGTTCGCTCTTCCCCTTTCCTTGCTCTTTCTGTTCTTGATCGCCTTGAGGCCACAACTCTATATGTTTCGATATCTTCTTTTTCAATTCCTTGATCAAAGTCTCTGAATCAACGTTCCCTTTTACTGTCACTTTTTGCTCCCCCAAATCAATATCCACAGTATGAACGCCTGAAAATAACAAAGAAAATTCATCAAAATTATGAAATGAAAAAAGACCCAGATCAGAAATTTTGAAATTGGTGGAAAATTAAACTTATGAAAGATATCCAGATAAAAAAATTTTGAAAAGATGGAAACTTTGAAATAAAAAAGACATTTTCCAAAAAACAGGGAAAAACAATGAAGGGTTTTAGTGGGTAACCTTTTATTGTTAAGATCTTTTCGAGTCTCTTCTTGCAGCCTTCACAAGCACAGTGACCGGTGACTTTCAAAACCGTCTGTCGAAAACAGAGTTCCAAAGACACGAGATAAGATTTTAGTCCCAACACAAGAAGTAGAAGAGAAGATTTACCTTGTACTCGAGAGGCTCTGGTTTGGATTCTGCAGGTTTAGGTGCTGGTTTTACCTTTGGTGATGGTACTGTTATTGCCATTTAGACGGAGAATAAGGGAAAGTCTAAGACTTGTTGGGAGAGGATCAGAGGATCAGAGGTAGGGAGATGCTTAAGAAGAAGAGGGAAGCGATGGTGGCTTAAAGGATAGACGTACACGGTTAACCTGTACCTTACACTACTAAAGGTTTTATTTTCTTTTCTTTTTTCTTTTTTTTTTGAACATTTTGACTTGAGAGGTGGATTTGAAACCCGCCAAAAAAAGAATGCGCTGTCTTATCTATTCAACAGTTAATGTCATTCAGCCTCTGGTTCGGTGCCAAAGGTTTTATTTTCTCTTGCATGCATTTCCGAGAAAGTTCCTAACCGCCATGAACATCTTCATCAACCAGATCTTATTACCACTTGGTTTTGTAATTTCAAAAAAAAAAGAAAAAAAATCTTATTACCACTTGTTAATAGAAAATAATTTAAAAATAAATTTTTATATAATTTTATGTGTTATTTAAATTATTAATTTTTTTATTTATTTAAAATTAATAATATTAAATATTTTTATTTATTTAATAATATATGATAATTATATAAAAAATAATATAAAAATTTATCTATATATTATCATCCTTCTTAATTTATTAGATATCATAAGTTCTTATCTTTCTTAATTTATTATAAATGTTAACTATATATTTATTTATTTTAAATTATATAATAAAAAATAATTTTTTTATTTTTTAATTTATGTGATTTATTGATTCATGTGATGTTCATATAATCATGTCTTTTCTAATAAATAAAATAAAATAATGTTTTATGAAATAAATTATATTTTAAAATATAAATTATTTTATAAATTTATTAAAATATTTGGAATAAATTTATAAAATAAATTATTTTTTTAATATATAATTCACGTTGTAACATACGGAATTCCCAAACGAAATTTCTAGAACCGATGAACAATCTGTATCTACCAAGTAAGCGCGGTTACATCGTTTATCCATTTCCCAGTTTCCAGTTTCGCCTGGCGGCCGGCTTGCTCAGACGAAATGTCTAGATCCAATGAATCAGTATCTGCCAAGTAAGTATCTCTTTTTGCACACCAAATTAAAAATCATATATTATTACTTTAAGCTTTTTTTAAATATATATCATTAAAATATATATTAAAGATGAAAGGTTAAAATTTTATTTTGATCCCTGAACTATTATATAGACCTTCGATTTGATCCCTAAACTCAAAAAATCCCTAATTTAGTCTTTACCGTTTACCATTTTTACTCCAAGTTGGTCTTGTCATTAAAAATTGCATGACGTGTACCATTAATTTACAGTAAATAATGACATGTCAAAATATTATCCTACGTGGAAGATAATATGGCAAAAAATAATGACATGAAAACAAATAATAATATAACAAAAATCTTAAAAAATTCTTTCTTTTTCTTTTTTTTCTTCTCCTTCCTTTTTCTTTCCCCTTAGGGTCTGGAACCCAGAGGTTTGATCGAACCCAACGCCTAGGTTCCAAGGAACCCGGCTCTGGGTTCAGACGAATGTAGACTTGGCGTTCCAAGGAACCCAAGCTCTAGGTTCCTTGGAACTCGGCTCTGGGTTTGGACGAACCCAAGCTCAAGGTTCCTTGGAACTCGACGCCTGGGTTCCTTGGAACCCGATGAACCCAGCACCAAGTTCGTTGAACCCAAGCGTTGGGTTCTTTGGCAAAAAAAAAAAAATTCTATGTTTTTGTGGGTGTTGTTTGATGATGATAATGAACTGATTGATGAAAAAGAATTCGAACTCGGCGCTAAGTTCATTGACAAAAAATTTAAAAAAAAAATTTGTGTTTTTGTGGGTGTTGCTTGATGATAATGAACTAATTGATGAAGAAGCAGAATTGATTGATGAAGAAGGTGAGCAAAGGAAGAGGAAAGAGAAAGGGAAAGATGAAGGAGAAAGAATTTTTAAAATTTTTACTGTCAAATCATTATTTTTTTACTATCTGGCTTTCCACGTGGACATAATGTTTTGACTTGTACATTAGGTTTCTGTTAGTCAACAGACACATGAGTAGATTTTTAACAGAATGATGAAATTGAGGTAAAAATGATAAATAGGAAGGACCAAATCAAGGATTTTTTGAGTTTAGGGACTAAATTGAGGGTCTGTACAATAGTTTAAGGATTAAAATGGG